GCCATGTAGTTCATCCTCAGGACCTTGACCATCTTGGCCGCATGATGCTTTCCGAACTTTTCCTCAACTGACGTGTCTGGCGAAAACAGCCAATCTTCGGCCTTCTGCTGTAGAACATCTGCTGCAGCCTTGAGTTTTTTTGCTTGATTCGACCCAGACCCTCCAGCGTCGAACTCCTTGACTGGGGAAAGCACCTCGTCGCATGGATCGGGAGCGTCGGTGCCGGCCAGCGTGCGCTTGACCGAGCGAGGATCAGGCGGGCTGGACGGCGTCTTCGACCTCAGACGGCGGCGCTTATCATCAACACCATCGCCAGACATGATGTATGGCGAGTCGTCGGATCTGGGAGTCTCGTGATGAGCGGGTGGCTCGTGGGGCGCGAGGCCTGATCGTTCGGTTCAGGCCGAAATAGCTTTGGTCGGCAAGTGCACAGAGCGCGGGCGGCCGCGAACCGACGTCGGAGAGGGGTCGCGGGGCCGCGGGGCCATATATATATATATATATACATATATATTAACAGCAGATTGACAGGACAGGGCCTCGAAGGTTACCTGGGGCCACGAGGGGCAGGGAACATGAGTGGCGAGGCGAGGACTGAAATAGATGAAAGAAAGAGGCGGCGCCGAGGGAGAGGAATGGAGGCGGGGCCCTGGGGGTCATGCTTATACGCGGAGTCTCAGAACCGCGGCGCGCTCGCACCTCCAACTCTATCTGCACAACTACAACTGGGAGATGGAGCGGGCCACTTGGGCCAACGGGAGTGCCAAACGCGACTGCGGGACACTGGGGCAACGAACCGTGACGGGGCGTCGGGGGCGGCCCGTGTCGCCGCGGCTGGATCCATCTCGGAGACGGAGTTCTGGCTCGACATCCTGCGCGCCATCGATCTCTATAGATCCCCCCCCCTGCTATTTGGACGACGCCTCCTCGACGCCTCCCTTTCCCCCCGTCGCTTCTGGGCGTCGCCGGCGATGGCAGAGGCCGAGGGTGCGGCCTAGAGGGCCGACGGGCCTCCGCCGCCGTGGCCGCGGGGGCAGCTCAGCTCGCAGCTGCCGCGGCCGCTGGGCGCGCCGCGGGGCGGCGGGGGCGCGGCGCCGCTGCCTGCGGCGCGCGAGGGAAATGAGGGGGATGCGGACGGCGGACTGCGTGGGCGTCGCGAGACACCGGTTATCATATTTCGCGCGCTGATGTGCGACGGTTTCGCACTCCCGCGCTCCATTTGGCCCAGACTGCGACGCGGCGCGAAGCGCAGTTATCGTCGCACCCCCCCCGCGTAAACTACTTAGACCACTTAGACCGACCTCGTCGTTGCTGTCGCCGCTCCACTCCGTCCGTCATCCGCAGCACTGGCATTCGCGGGGCGAACATAATCCATATTCCATCTTGTCTTACCCCACAAGCGGTCACGCAAGGAGGAGGCAGTGAGTAGGTGGAGTAGGCGTGAACGCGCGGGGGGGAGGCAGGGCGCGGCCTGGCAGACGCACAGACGCATGCCTTAGAGCTTCAGGGCCCGGCCCAATGACCAGGTTCGAGATTAGTTGCGGGCTGCCACCGACCAAACCAACCGACTCGGGCATGCGGGCGAGAGTAGGTGCGGAGGGGGGGCATAAGCAGAGCAGACCATCAATGGAGTGCGCATCGGTAGGTTAGCGGCTACAGTCCGGGACTGCGCTACAACAAGCGGCCGCCAGTCGCGATCTCGACTCCAGTCAGGCCCCAAGTGTGACGCATCCCATCTGAACTCCACTGGACTCCACTTGTCTCAATCGGGACGCGTGGCGGGGATGAGAATGGTTGGGTGGGTGGCGCGGAGCAGGAGGCATGACACAGGCACAGGGCGAGGAAACGAGCGAAGGAGGGACAAGGGATCGGGATCAGGGTAAGCGAAGAGCGAAGGGGATGGAAGAGAACAGGATGAAACGGGGACTGACTGCTCTCCTCCTCGCCAACATACATGTGATCATATTTCCCTCTGCATCATGATCATGATCACCATCCTGCCACATCTCGCCATTATTTCAAGCTCCAGCTCCGTGGTAGAGGTAGACTCTGCGGTCGTGCTGTTCCGAGGTGAACGTCCGGTAACCCACCTTCCCCTGTCTCGCCCCCCCCCTCCTCCTTCCTCATCCGCCGACGCGGGCCGTCAGCTCAGATCTGGCCGCTCGGACGCTGTGGAGTCCTCGGGCTTTCCCAAAGCCCGAGGCCTCCGCTTTGCGATGGGAGTCGAAAGCCTGGCTTTCGACTCCCATCGCACATGGCTCGCGGCGGCCTTGGTTGCGCGATTCTGCGCCAAGGAGGCGAACGTGGTCTCGATGGCCCTGAGCTGAGAGACCGTCTCCTGGATCTGCTTACTCTCGACCTCGGTGCAGGGCCCCCCCTTCGCATCGCTGTGCAGCTCCGCCATCGAGCACAACGTCAGGTGGATCTCATCTGCAATCTCCTGGCACGGGCTGGGACCGAGGCGAGGACAGCGGCCAGGCGCAACGAAGTGGCGAGGATTCTCCCACGCGGCATGGAAGGGGGCCGCGGCCCACGCAGGGATGGGGGGGGGGGCGGAGCAGGAGGCAAGAGGAGGAGGCAAGAGGAGGAGGATGAGGAGGAGGAGGAGGAGGAGGAGGAGGGAGGAGGAGGATGGAGAGGGGGAAGGAGTCGAGGAGCAGCGCTTCCTTGAACGCCATCATCTTCTGAGCGTCCACAAACCCATCGGACCGATCGGAAGGCCCATTGGAAGGCGGCGCCTGAAAGAGGGGGGGGGAGGGAGGGGGGGGCGGAGAGCGGGAGAAGACGGAGAAGAGGAGCAGGCCAAGGAAGAGAAGGCGGAGGCCGGCCTCTGGCGGCTGGCCATCATCGACCGTCGTGGCCGAGCTAAACATATGCGCCGCCAATGGGCTGGGCCAGGGGCGTGGGGGGCGGGGCGCTTGCTAACCACCTCGAGCAGCGTCGGATGCGGAGTGCCTTGCCGAGGAGGAGGAAGGGGGAGAGGAAAGGTTGGATGAGCAGAAACTAACCTCACGTTGTTTCGCTACTCGGTAACAAGCTGGGTGCAATCGCTAGCTCCTCCTGCAGTTGCCCGCCCCACGATGGCAATTTAGAACGGGAGCAGCTCGAATAGTTCGCGGCTTGCCCGCGCGCGACAAATCGGGGGATGTAGCGGTTGAGCGGCGGAGCGGGCAACCGCAATCCAAAAGATGGCCCGCAATCCGAACCCAGCATCGCACACCCGCGCACCGCGCCCCAAAAGGCGTCTAGGACGCCGACGCCTGGGTAGCTGCTCTCAGCGACACCAGAAGCATGAGAGAACTACAACACATGGGGTGACCGTGCCGAATGGATTGAATTCGGTGCGCCCAGCACTGTAAACGCTGGGGGTCTGACGCAGTGCAGACATGGGAATATGCACAGCAAATGGCAGACCGGAAAACAGTTGCACGACCTCGCGCGGATGGGTTGGGCTGATATCTCCCATTCAAATCGGCGAGCCACGCAACGCGACAAAAATGTGGCCCGGAGTTCTGCGGCCGCCTGCTCAGTCACTGGACTCACTGCCGCATGAGTCCTCAACCTCCGCCGCCGCCTCCTCACCGGCCGCACCGTCGTTGCCCTCCTCCCCGTCGCTAATCTCGATCACCGCGACGTCGAGGACAAGCGGGGTCTTCGGCATTTGGTGGCTGATGTTCAGAGGCCGTGCTACCAATGAAAAGAACTGCGCGGCATGGGTCAACCTGAGCACGCACCACCTGGCTGGGGCGCCGGGTCTAACGCTCGCACATGCGTCGCACATATCATATCGACAATGAGTCGTTGAGAGGTTCGCTCGGATGTCTCGGATCGGCGCTTGGCCCCCCATCCCTGGCGCGCGGGGCGCGCCGGGGGCGGCGCCGGCGGCGCCGCCCGATGAGCCAAGGTGTGGCCCAGCGCCGATCCAGGACATTCGCGCGGATCTCCGAGAGCAGTGCGCGCAGCGCGCGCCGAAGTCGGCAATTCGCCGTCGAACCCCCAAGGATCCCCCAGCAAACCGATGGATGGGGCCAGGTTGCACCGAGTGTTCCAGGAAGCCCACCTGAACATGATGACAGCGCCCATGACGCACACATTCATCGTGTTCCCCGCCTGCTTAACCATCTCAGCACGCGCTCGAGGGGGGTTCCTGGGCGACAACGCATTGCCGGGGTTCTGGCCCTCTGGGGGGCCTCGTTTTGCCTCGGAAGGAGCCGCTGACCAAAAAAAGCGCCGTGAGACATCTTAGGGGTCGGGAGGGGGAGGGGCGAACCGGCGCGGTTCGTGCTCGGTGTCGTACCCATTGAGTCCTCGGCTGGAGGAAGCTGCACTGGTCCGCGCCGTACATCCACGCGAACGTCGGGAAGCCTTGCGATGCCAGAAGCTCCCGCGGAGTCAACCACCTGTTCATGCCACCTGCCACGTCGTCGCCCCAGATCAGGCTGGAATTTCTGATCAGGCACGGCAGCGCCGTTCGCGATCCCGCATGACTGCGGCCTTGCTTGCCCAGCCAAGAAATTCACCGGGGGAGGTGGGCGAGGTGGACACCGTTTGGATGTGCCGAGGATGACGGGAGGGGAAGCGGTGGGGGAGGGGGGGTTCGAGGTGCAACGGTTGGGCGTGGGGGCGGGCCCAGATGAGAGCGAGGGTGGCCGTTCTGGCATAGAATGGGGAGGAAGATGGGAGGAGTCAGGGGGCGGGTTAACCTCTTCGGGAGTCCGTCCATGTTCCGTTCTCATGATCAGCCACGCGAGCCCTCTGAGGATCGCGCGTCTGTTCCTCTGGCGAAACTGCGCGAGCTTCGGAGAGCTCGAAGAGCTGGGGAGCGTCGGCGCCAGCAGCCTGGAGGCATGGACTACGGCATTGGCCGTCGGAGAGCCGAGGAGACAAAGGGGGGGCGGGTAGGAGAGAAAAGACATTATACAGAGAGGGGGAATCTGGAGGAGGACGGACCAGCGTCACAGAGCGGGGAAAAGAGGGAGTGGTGTTGTCCCACCCGACGCCTGTCGCAGGATTCTGGTGCAACGACCAGGGCTTGCCCCCGTAGCGAGCACGGTACTCCGACAGCGTCCCCACCTCGAACGCCAAGAGGAGCTTCTCGAACGTTTCGGAGGCACCAGCGTCGAACCGTGCCATCGCAACGTCGAGTTCGGCCGCTTGCTCACTCTTGGACAGATTTCGGTCTTGCTTGAGCTTCCTAGCAAGGGCCCACCTCAGCTCATCCTTCAACGAGTCGGCGTCATCCACGAAGAACGCTTTCCATGTTAGGCTGGTTGTCCGTTCCAGCGCACGTGTGAAGCTCGTCAAAGAACACCTCGTAGCAGCAACTTTGAACTTGTGCGTCAGCACCACAAATTTCCTTGTGCGCATCGCAGGGAAACCATAGCTCGTACTCTGTAAAACAACATCTTCCACATCGTACCATTTGCCCAAGAGGTGCGTGAGAAATCCGGTGGAGAAGCCCTTGACATTCTCCTGCACAATCACGGGTTCTTGCAAGCGAATGCGCAACCCAACCCAGATCAGAAAATATAAGGTGGTATTGCCGTCCAATCCTCCCATCTGGTGTCCCATTTTGGATTCATCAGTACACGGCGTTCCTGCGATATGGGTGTGTGCGGACTTGAGGAAACACGTGCGACCGTGAACGCAGCAGTGCGCCGCATTCTTCACAGCAAAGCCGGCGAGCACCGTTGGACACAGAGCGTCGTAGACGCCGACTCCTCCCACGGCGGCATTCTGGTTCGTCTTGCTGTTCTTGGAGTTATGCCTTGCAGCCTTCCCAACGCTTAAGAGCCAGGGCTGGATCGCATCAGCTCCGAATTCCACGATATTGCTGAACAGGCATTGCGGTCCATGGGGGGCCGCCATCAGCTCGGCCTTACAGGCAGCATCGTACTCTATGGCGTGGATGTGGGAGGCGCGAGGCACAGGAATAGACTCTCCACATTTTGCCTTGATGAGGTCCGCAACTGCCTGCCCCATCAACGAGTACGCCGTGCCTGGAGCGTCAATGCCAGAAAAAGCAGTGCTGAGGGTGTCGTTCTCGATGACCTGGGGGGAGGGGGTCCAGAGCGGAAGCCGAAACATGCTCACAGATCAGCCTGGACCTGGACCGCTTGTGTTGGTGCGATTGACCCAAACCGACCTGTCTCAATGAGTAGAGCGCGTCGGCACTGCAGGACGAATCGGGGAAGTGCGTCTCCCGCTTGTCATTCGCGACACGCATGACGTGCCACAGTGGCCACTCGGACACCTCCTTGAGGGAACGTGTTGTCGAGTGATCTGGGGGCGACAAAGTGGCCGCAGCTGCGCAGCATGCACCCCCGGGATCTGGTCTAAACCCACCTCGCCCTGACACATTCCCCTATCACTGGTCACCGTCCTACTCCTCCCATCTCACGTTTCGCCTCCCATGCATCCTCGTCGCCACGTCTCCCTCATCCACCGCTGCCGATCTCATCATCACTCATCACCCTCCACTCCCATAGCCAGAAGACAAACATCGAACCTTGTGAATCATAGCCAGCCAAGCCGCCGCCATCCGCAAGCGGTGGTGCTTGCGATGGAGGCGCCGCCGCAAGCTCGGCCAGGGGTGCGTGCCCGCGCCCCGCCGCCAGACTAGCACCACTATCACCTGTCGCATCCATCCAAAGCTCGGCCGCCATCGCTTCGAGGAGCTGAGCGTCGGCGTCGCTGTCACAGTCAGGCTCGGCGGCCAGCGGGCCGGCAGGCGGATGATCGCACGCGACGATGGCCAGACAAGTATCCTGAGATGCACCTGGACGTGGGCCATGGGAACCTTCGTGGCGATGTTGCTGGACCAACGCCTCTGGCATCATCGCATCCTCAACATCTACGGAGGCATCGCCATGATGGTGGTGGGCGTCGATGTCCATAGGCACCCGTGGAGTCACTGCGGCCGTCAATTCCGTAGTAGTCTGGGCGCCGTCGTCAAAGTGCTGGTCGTGGGCCACCTGTTCCACCGACATCGCCGCCACCTCCCTCGCCGTCGCTGGAGGTGCCGCCAGAGTCGGATCGTCCGAGAGGTTGGCGGCGTCGTCGGAGTCGTGGTCGCATTCGTCGCCAGTGGCATGGGAAATGGCAGGGCATTGTCTCCCCCCGAAGTTCAACACGTTGTGGGGCCCCAAACGATCGGCTGGATGGAGGTACCTGATCCCTTCTGCACACGACGGCTTGACATGCATCGGCCGATCGAGGGGGCGCGGGTTGATGAACGTCCAAGCCCATAGCTCCTTGCGTTTCCACTTGGACATCATGCGAAGGACTCGATCGACGGGGACACGGTGTCTATCCATCGTGGCGGCGATTTGATCCTCAGGAATGTACACGCACCCCGTGAAGTCAACCACGCCAAGCTCCCGCGGATGATTGCCTCTCCCACGGTCGGTCTCGATGATGGTTAGAGGAGTGACGCCGTCCACAACGTACTTTGGCTTGGGCTTCCAAACCCAATTACGCAATTCATACGTCTTCTCTCCTGACATGACCATACCCGCAAACTCTGCACGAATTGATATTGCAGGACTGGCAAGTGGATCCCGGGCAGCAGCGCCAGCCGGTGCGGCCTGGGCAAGAGGGAAAGGCATGGACGGAGCAGGCATGAGCGCCAACAGGGCGGGAGACGGAGACGAGACCCAGGGGGGCGGGTCGGCGACATACTGGGGACTCGCGGCGAGGGGCGAGAGGCCGCGGGAGCGGGAGGTGGAGGAGGCGAGCAGGGGGGGGAGGGGAGGAGGGAGAGGGGCAAGTGGAGCTCGAATCGGCTTGAAAAGGAAGATGAGGGAGGGCATATTGAACATTGTGTATGTAGAAGGGCTGTGTGTGTGCGTGCGTGCGTGCGTGCGTGCGTGCGCGCGTGGTGTGAGGGGGGCATTATAAGACGTCTACATGCCCAGGTCAGCCGCGTAGATTGGGCAAGGTGAAGCGGTGCAACGTTTTAATGGTCTCGCCTTGAGGCGGTCCTTCCGGACACCACCAGCGGCGGCGGGGTGGGCCCGACGAGTGGCATGCCCCTTCACCATGGCCCACGGGCGCGGCGATGCGGCCTCAGCAGCGCCAAGAGGACGCGACGCAAAATGCAGAAACGGTCCGGGCCTGCAAGCTGCGAGCGACGAACTGCCAAAGAATGCACACCCTGGCGTGATTCTCGTCGTCGTTCTCAACGGGAGGTGGGGCGAGAAAGGGGCCGAGCAGGAGGAAGAGGAGGATGGAGGATGTGCGGGGGAGGAGGCGTAAGAGAGCATGTCGGGGGATGGGGGGAGGGGGGGGGCAGGTCTTATAGCCACCCCCTTGCAGCGTGACTCAACATGCTCTGTCAGACTTGGGGGGTGGCCCGCGAAGCCACGGCTGACGTCGACTCGAACTGGCCTGGCCACCCTCCGCCCCCCTCGCCACTCAATCGATCGCATTGCGAACACCACCCATCACCAACGCGTCATCTCACGCGTCCGACCTGCACGGCGACATTCCCCGCCAGCGACACGATCGCGATTGGGGAGGGGGGCAGGGCGTAACCCTAGGGGGGTTGGGGTGGGCACCTGGTGATCGAATCCTGCCCAACATCGTGCGCGCGGTCTTGCGGGTGCGATGTGCAGCGCGGACACTCGGGACCCGCGCCCATCGCCATCGAGGAGGGGCAGGCGACGGAGGGGATGAGGCGGAGGACAAGGAGGCGATCGACGAGTTCACCAGCATGGCCAGATGGTGGAGTGGCAAGCACCTTGCAACACACATTCGCGAAGCGGTGAGACCGCTTAGAGTAAGGGGACGGGGGTCAGACATCCACATCGGACAGACCCAAATGTGTGAGGCCAGCACATGGGAGGCTCAGGAAGAAGAGGGCGCTCGACGGGGTGGCGGGGGATCGATGGGCGAGGGGGGATGAGGAGGTAGGGGTCGCTACAGGCGGAGACGCATCCCTCCAACTGGCGAGGGCCCTTCCACGGCACCTGCAATGGCCCCATCCATGGGAGCCATCCAAAGAGGGGCAGTCCAGGAGGGGATGGGAGGGCTTCGAAGGAGGGACATGGGACCCTTTCCAGGGGGACCCTTTACAAAGGGGGGTCTTTCCAGGGGGACCCCTCCAAAGGGGGGGAGAGGTCTTTCCAGGGGGACCCCTCCAAAGGGGGGTCTTTCCAGGGGGACCCCTCCAAAGGGGGGTCTTCCCAGGGGGACCCCTCCAAAGGGGGGTCTTTCCAGGGGGGCCCCTCCAAAGGGGGGTCTTTCCAGGGGGACCCCTCCAAAGGGGGGGGGGTCTTTCCAGGGGGACCCCTCCAAAGGGGGGTCTTTCCAGGGGGACCCCTCCAAAGGGGGGTCTTTCCAGGGGGGCCCCTCCAAAGGGGGGTCTTTCCAGGGGGACCCCTCCAAAGGGGGGTCTTTCCAGGGGGACCCCTCCAAAGGGGGGTCTTTCCAGGGGGACCCCTCCAAAGGGGGGGGGTCTTTCCAGGGGGGGGCCCCTCCAAAGGGGGGTCTTTCCAGGGGGGACCCCTCCAAAGGGGGGACCCCTCCAAAGGGGGTCTCTTCCAGGGGGCCCCCAAAGGGGGGGGGGGCCCCTCCAAAGGGGTTCTTCCAGGGGGACCCCTCCAAAGGGGGTCTTTCCAGGGGGACCCCTCCAAAGGGGGGTCTTTCCAGGGGGACCCCTCCAAAGGGGGGTCTTTCCAGGGGGACCCCTCCAAAGGGGGTCTTGGGGGTCTTTCCAGGGGGACCCCTCCAAAGGGGGGTCTTTCCAGGGGGACCCCTCCAAAGGGGGGTCTTTCCAGGGGGACCCCTCCAAAGGGGTGTCTTTCCAGGGGGACCCCTCCAAAAAGGGGTCTTCCCAGGGGGGCCCCTCCAAAGGGGGGTCTTTCCAGGGGGGCCCCTCCAAAGGGGGGTCTTGGGGGTCTTTCCAGGGGGGCCCCTCCAAAGGGGGGTCTTTCCAGGGGGACCCCTCCAAAGGGGGGTCTTTCCAGGGGGACCCCTCCAAAGGGGGGTCTTTCCAGGGGGGGCCCTCCAAAGGGGGGTCTTGGGGGTCGTTCCAGGGGGACCCCTCCAAAGGGGGGTCTTTCCAGGGGGGACCCCTCCAGAGGGGGTCTTTCCAGGGGGACCCCTCCAAAGGGGGTCAGTCACGATGGGCGCTGGCGGGGGGGGGATGGGAAGGCCTCCAAAGGGCGGAAGGGGAGGAGGATTGGGAAGTGGAGGGGGGGCTTCCAGGGGGGGGCATCCAAAGGATACGGCGGCCCTTCAGGCAAGGCGCCAACGATGGGGGGGGTGGGCGTCCATGGAGACAACTGCGAAGTATACGTGCTGCCGGTCACACTGTTTCAACGTCGCCGCGACGACCCGCACTGTATGCAACCCAGCATGCACACAGGCACACAGCCGTCGCCGTGCAAATTCAAAGGAGCGAATGCGGCGCACGGGTGCCACCCACCGACCAGGCTATGGATGCGCTGCGACGCAGTGTACCACACACTGGCCTGACAAGCCTCGCATCGAACGTCACCTACCCCATGTGAGTGCGATGGTGGTCGAGCCAAGTGCGCGCGATCAATCCATGACTGCATCGTCAGCCGCCACCGCGCCGTACGCGACCGGTAGCAGCGGGGCGGCGGCGGCATCGTGCCCAGCGTATGCAGCATACGCCTGAGCAGCAGCGGCGGCGGCGGCGGCCCAGCCCTGTAGCGGCGGCGGGTGCAGCGGAACCACATCGTCCCTGACGCGGCGGTCCACGTCGTAGAAGGTGCGGCCACGTCGCGGGTATTGCCCAGCGCAAAGGCGGAGCAAGCACGTCTTCGCGTGGCGAGTCCGGATGAGGGTGCACACCTCCCAAACAGCCGAATGTGGCACGCAAGCACCGTGGTTGTGATCATGACAATGCATACGCTTCACCGTGGATGTGCCAACGCCACATGGTATGCAGAGGCGAGTCGAGTCGAGCTTTGCAATTACAGATTTGACAGGCGCACCTACCATACCAACCACATGGAACATGTACCCGGTACCCGACCATGCAACTGACTGGCCCGCGCCACCTGCGACGATTAAGCCACATGGCAGGCATGCAACCTGCGTTGCCATGTCGTCCGCAACATCCTGTACCACTGTACCACACTCGACGTTCGATCACGCATACACACCGTCGTGCCATCATCATGCGCATCGGCTCATCATGCCATTCGACAGCCGCGTCCTGGGATGTCGCTGACAATACTCTCAAAGCACTATACGTATCATCCACGACATCCATCATATACA